AGTAGCATCTATGAGAAGACCTATGGGTGCTGTTCGATGTCCGGAGGATTCAATACAGGTGGTCAATTTAAGAGTGCCTCGAAGTATTACACCCATCCGTTCCTCCGTTCTTAAATTTCAGTGATTGCATTTCCTCCTTTGTCATTAACCTGTCTATATGGTTCACCAAATTTCCCTGATAGTTTCTTCGTTATGTCGATACAGTTGTTTCATATCTTCTTTTCCAGCCATTTCCATTGTCGTCACTTTCACATTTTTCTGTTCGTCAGCCCCAATATTCTTCTTCATTTGCTTGTTCGCTTTTTTGTATTCAGTTTGTGCATTGACTTCCTCCGTTCTCGTTCGGCTGTTGTTAATTACTGTTTTCTAGTTCTTTCTTTCTTGAATCTTGTCCAGGGTTTTGATCAAGATCCACTTCATGTGATGGTGCACTTTGCGGTCTAGAATCTGCTGACACGATAAAATCGGTGCTTGTTTGATTACTTTCCGATTGCCCTTCATAGTAGCTTCTTTTTCTTTGAATCGGTCTTGTAAGGCTTGGGACCTGTTGCTGAGAGTTGTCTTGAATTAGTTGAGTTCGACAGTCTGTCAAAGATGGACTGCATTGAATATTTCTAATGCCGTTTCCCAAGTTGTCCAGTATTTCCTTATCTTGGGTTTTATATCGATAGTCATCAACTAGTGGTGATTTTAAGCTCCATCAGCTCCTACCATTGACCATTGATCGTTTATATTATTTGGTGATTCAAATATGATCGCTCTGGTTCTGTGTGGTATGATATGTTGGGACCTATGTAGCTTTATGTATGCATTTGTCTGGTAATATTGTGCTAACTACAACCATTTAATTGAATTTACATTCGTTTGAGGACCTGTCACCACTCTCGTTCGTTTCTCCCAATCACTCCATTTTGTCTCGTGATATCTTGATACGTAGTATTTTCCATTCCGACATCATGGTTTAGGTTACCATCGGGACAGTTAGGTTCTTCCCGACACTTATCAGTGATCTATTGCAGCCTCTCGTAATATTGGTCTTCACCATCTTCATTACTAAAATTGTTGAATGCATAGTACTGAATAACATTCATTATTATTCCCCCCTTTGTCTTAAATGACTTTAAATCCGTGAGATCCCCATTCTACAAATGCTTTTCGTGCTTCTTTGGCCAGCATCAGTGAAACTCTCTCTGTGTTCAGTATTTTCTTATTCAATACCGGAGTACAACATCTCCCGAACCTAATATTTTCTACCTAATTAGCGTCCAATTGGTTTCGCTATTCCTAAGCACTGCCATATAGTATCCTTCCGTCTCCACAGTTATTTGATTGTTCCTCTCTTTGAATACTTACAGAGAAAAAACAAAGTGGGCGACGGGACTGAAACCTGAGAATCACAAGGATAAACATTGCTACTTAAGATTGTTCCGGCTGGTCCACAAGAGAATAAGAAGTGTTCGACAATGGTAGACAGCAAGCTTAGTACGCCAGTTCTTTATATCATGAACATCTTAACGAAACTTCGCAACCACTGCATTTGGCTCTTTCACTGATGTGCTCTTATCCTAGTAATAATAATAATAATTTATTCTCAAATAACAGCTTGTTAAATGACGTATGCCAGTTTACAGACAAGATCAAGTTGCTAAAAAAATATAATTTTTACTGTAGCAAATTATTCAGCTGGGTTGATATTTTGTAAGATATGAATGTAGATGGCTTAAGTAAAAATTGTATTGTCAGTATTACAGTTGGCGCGCTTCGTGAAGGTCTCGTTGCGACGAGAAACTTATGGTCGAGAATAGATTCGTGTGAGTCTTTCTAGCTCCTAAAAGACGTTATTACCAACAAATGCGACTCAAGGCAGACCCTAGGATGTCGAACACAGAGCATTAGCTTGGTAGAAGATCAAGAATATAAACTGTTTGGTTCAAAAAGTCTACTTGTTTCCAAAACTTTGATTAACACCATCAGTACACTGAAATCCGAAATTATTGCAGTCTATCAAAGAGCAGGAAAGAGGGACATTAATAACATACTGAATAATAACTTGAGGATAGATAAAACCGGTCAGCAAAAGTTTTTCATGGTAAACATGAAAAATTATGGCTGGTAAATAAATATGGCATAATTATGTGAGGTTCAAGTGGGTCAAGGTGGTAGTGGGTGTTCAGTAATACAACTCGTGAGTTTGTTCATCAATAAAACCTTTCACGGCCTTCTCAAAATTCAGATACTCGAAACTATTTCAAAATGTTGGCTCTAGTTGGCTATCGTGACACTCACAAAATATTATTGTCAATATGACAAACAACTCTTTACCTATTTAATCCAGTTTCGTTATGCTTCCAAACACTTGACTCGTGGAATACCATCTGCCATGCAAAAGTCTGCAAAGAGATGTGTATATGGCTACTAGTTTAATGAATAATTTTGTAGTTAACAACGCAAATGATTTGTCATATATGTTACTTGACAAGTCGTGAAAAAGGCAGGCTTGACCCTAATACAGATCTATATAAGTCACTATTTAGACTTCCACACGTTAAAATGATTAAAATGTTTATTTATGTGATTTAATGGAAATGAATGTTATATTGTCTGATAAAAAACCAAGTGAAGAACTGATAATTATGTATTCTTCCAAGCAGTGTATAACTATCGCAGCTTATAGTGTTAAATTTAGTGGGTTCCTGTAGCCCGATGAAGCTCATAAAGAAACAAGACCCTTCTGACATGGCCAAAACAAAAAAAACTTACTAATGTAGGGATCATCCTACCTACTGCTAAACTGAAGTTGTAGTAAAGCCCCGAATTTTTTGACACTAAATCCCCTGTTTAAGTCTAAGTGTGTGCGCTATCTCCATTAGTAGCAAGTAGTAGCAACGACCTCCATAGCATCACCGATGTAATTATAAAGTGTCTTCATCTCAGAAAGTTGATCCAGAATTCATCTCCATTACGGAAATTTTACCAGTTCGTCCTGAAGAACAAGTTTCTTACCCACAAGACCAAAAAGCGTGAAGTTTCAGTCAAATTTCATAATCGAACCGCTGTACGCATTAGGTGAGACAGATAGTGAGTTTGCAAGTTTCGCTTTCCTGTAGTCTGATAGCGCTGAAATAAGTCGTTCCTTCAAACCATTCTCTTAATCCCTCTCTGTCCTCAAGGTGTTACTACCAAATTATCTGTAAGCCGAAAATTTGCGACACTTTCGGGATCTTTTCAGGAGACGTGAAATTCGGTTCGCTTAAGAAGACAATTGACACTCATGATGCTTCCACCATGAATAACGGTGTAATCTCTTGTAGAACACTCGTAGCTGAAAACCTTCACAAACTCTTATATATGCGTCCATCCAAGGTGATATACACTGAGCGGCGCCTTCCAGGTTAGACCTCTGAAGCGCCAATTTAATGGCTATGAGAAGTCACTAAACTGGACATATCAGCTTTCAATAATAGATGAAAATAACATGTGAAGACACAGAAGTCGCTCCAGTTATATTACTACCTCTGACAATCCAATAACGTCCGCTCATATTTTTCTAGATGCAGTAATGCTTTCGCGTCTTCCTTTTAGGTAAAATCGTCAAAGATCGCAGTGAAACTAATATACGATCATATAATGTAGGAACTACATCTTTCTCGAACGAACTAACTGATCAACAAAACGTATTTGAGCAGGCAAGTTACGTTTTGGATGGATATTATAAATAGCAAGAAACGCAAACTTCGTGGGAACCTCGAATATATTTCTGCACATGTTAATTATTTCACTTCTTTCCAGTTATTTTGTGCACATATATTTCGGAGCAGTATTATCCATATTGTTGTGGAATTTTCTACAGCATTGAGATAAAACCTTCAAGGTAGCCGTATATTGTATATTGAAATAATGCAGACAAACCTAGGCTACTTGAGGCTAATGTAAACGGACCAATAAGGTAACTGCTATGTGACCCTGAAGCATTCAAGAATCTGCTTTGTGTGCTTTGATGTATCACGATGTAGGCGAAAATGTTTTTTAGTAACCTGTTTGTTGTGATGCCGTACTCAACCTCAAGTCTATGTGTATAAATGCGGGCACTTCAGTGTCTCGTAAAAATGTCCACCTCTTCGTTATACGCTAACGTATAAATGACAATTGTCAGCGTTTATCATCGTCAGCAGTCGATGTTTATTATTGCTCTAAGCATTGGTGGTGAATTTGCACAATTCGTATCAGAGGACGAACCTATGGAGAAAGACCAAGTCATAATTCGCAAATCCGGATAGTTCCATGGGAATAATATAGCTTAACCCTTCAGACATTATCAAACTTTCCTCTAACTAAGCAACTTTTGGTTGAACCGCGTTGTCATTTCACTTTTTGGTGGTAGGGTTTTCTTTTTAATGCTCAAACTTTATTATAGTAAATAATTATTTACTATAATAATTATTATAATTATTATTACTATAATAATTTTTAGAGCCTTAAGGCACTAAAATTATTTTAAATTGATTATAATCAAATGATCTCCCAGGAGTAAGTTTACTTACGCCTCACAAAAGCAGATGGGTCGAGGTTTACGGTTATTATTTTATTCTGCTGCAATGCTTCATGTGCTATGGCCAGGTCACAGCATCTCTGTAAAGCAACTCACTAATAAAAAGTTTTCCTTAAGGAATAAAAGTTAATTAACTTTTGTTTATTTTCGTTAACATTTATCTTAAGCATACACACATAAGAGTGAGGTGTATATGCGTTTAGTTAGTAGCTAATTCATATGTGTTCATATTAAATTCCGACTTAACGTATGTATGAGAATATTGTTTACTTAGGTATGTGAAGCATTCTTTTTTAACCGTTCATTAATAGACTTTTTACCCGCTTCACTACTGGCCGTTCGTGTTTACCTTTTTTCATTTTGCTTGTTTCAGACTGCCTACTAACCAACGATTGTACGTGGATTGATTTTTTTCCTCCCACTGTTGAGTGACTAAGTACACTGTTTAAGAATGAGTTGGAACGAAACCGGTTGGTGGGCTGATCAAGAAGGTTTGTCAGTTGTCACTAAATAAACCTCGTAGAAACCGAACTTTCGTATGCTCGTGACAAACTGGATTCGTTGCTGCAGATCTTAAAAGAGGACCCAGCTAAGACGTACGATCCTAATTTATGATGGACATTCATGGGCATATTTTTTAGCAAGACGAGCACCAAGTATAAGGATGAAATGGCTGGTCGGCGAGATTCTTCAGAAAAGGAAAAGTTTAGGAGTCCATTTTATAAAGTATCTCCGAATGATATTAAAAGGAAGAAACGACGAGTACCATCTGAGGAAGAAGAAACATACAAAGGTTTTGAGGAATTAATATTAACTAACTTTTTAGAATCATTTGTCATAAAGGTTTTTGAGAGAAGTGTGGACTTTGGACAGTTTAGCGAAAACGCTCCTTTGTATCCAATGGCTAGATCATGGATACGTAATCTTAATCAGGGTGATTCTTCATCATGGAATGATGTTCCAAATGTTGATGATGACCAGGAGGTACGTTACCCAATTTTGATTATTTTGTTGAGTGATCACTCTTTACTTAAAGATATCTAATTCCAGGCTCTGCGTTGAATATAACTGACTGGTATCTTGTAGACTCTGATTAGTTCATCTTAACTTGGCCTCATTGTTGTCCTAATGAAATACTTGATGTTACGTAAAACCAGCACTTATTAATTCGAAGACAGATAAACAGCAGCCACATAGACTATGGGCCAAGCATTCAGTAACATTTTTCGTATAAGCGTCAACTAGGAATTTCAAACGTCGTGGGATGTAATGTCTTGGTTGAATCGTCTGCAAACATTTACCCACTCATTCATATATTTGTTATGTTAATCTGAATAAGTATGCGTGTTCTGGTTGTCTAACCAGCATAAGTAAATGAATCCCTACAAACTTACACCTGTTGACTCGTCACCTTTTTCTGTAACTTCACTTTGTACATATGCTTTTCCAGTTGCAGGTTCCTGTAGTCTAACTTCGGAGTTATCTGCGATTAAGAACTACTCAGTATTGTCCATTCCTCCCGTATTTTTCCATACATATCTCTCCATCTATTTTTGAACCATATTCTTATTGTCTATTTTTTACTATTATCATTACTAGTACAGTTATAGAAACTCTTGACTGACCCTCAGTTCTTATATGAACCATGAAAGATAACCAAATAAAACAAATAAAAGGTCACAATAAGCTGTTATTGTATCAACAGTCTATAACAATAGTGTACTTAGTTTCCAAACTGCTACTGTTATTCGTGAATGAGTTTCGCTACCCAGATGTTGCTGTTAAGGTGAAACCTGATAAAATGCATATTAAATCTAGGATCTCGTTTTTCTGACGTCTGTTGTCCTCATGTCGCACTCAGTTAAATCTTAAATAGTTCAAAGTCATTATCCAAACAAACTTCTTGTGTTTCTTTTTATCTGGTTTTCAAATCTCTTCTAAGATATATTCGTTATCAAGTCCGCTTCTGTGTGACTACAATAAGCTGCTAGAGACTACAATCAAGATTAGTTGCATGATGATTGGGACTCGATCCCTTTTCACGATCAAAGGCAATATCTCATTTTGACCATATCGACTCACCATCATTGTCCTGTTATATCTTATGCACTCCTCAATTCGTAGTCGTTAAGAATTACTCTATGAACAAATAAACATCATATCTCTAGCGTTCCTCAAGACAGTAACAATCGTCATTAGTACGTTACAAATGAACGGCTACCCTCGCTCGTTTTGTATCGTATTGTACTCATTTTGTAACGAGTAGTGAAATTTTGCTTTACTATTTAGTTTTGGCTTGCTGGTAAACGGTGTAAAAGCTTTTCAATAGAGTCACCCAACAAAAGAGATGAGTTATACAAACACTGCACATCCGACAAGTGTACACGTCATTTTACACAATATTAAGTTGTTGTTAATAACTTATCTAAAATTATGCCCATGTTCTTCATTTGACTACTGAACAGGGTGCTCTTGGTACTTCAGATATTATTATCACTTACCAATTAGGAAAAGATGGGAATCTGTTTCCTTAAAATCACACTAGCCGTTACCACATTTAACGCAAAGATCTTAGCTACATGAATAATTGAAAGTTGGGTAAGGTGTATAACTGTGAAGTAGGGCAGAAACGTGCAGGCGAGTCAAGAGGCATTTTTGAATTCATTATTCATATGTTTGAATTCTGTACTGGGTTCGAAACAAATCAACAATGGACTCAAATAGACCATATTGCCATCAGTCATCGTTGGAGAGAGTCGATAGAAGGTTGTCGCTCATTCTGGAATACTTGCTTGGAATCTGACCATGCACTGATACGGGCATGCATTTGCTTGCACCTCACTGGACGTGAACATGCTATTCCCTATACTGCGAAAATCAGTGCTCTTGATTTCATCACAATCCAGTCACCTTTCCTCACGTGGTTGGACCTCAATGAACAAGTATTCTAGCCAGTGTAGCTCGGGTAGTAATTAAACCTGACTACTGCATCAAGTGGCCAGGTATAATTTCTGGTTTAATTTTTTAAATGTAAATCTAGCTGATTTTTATGAATTGTTGCATACACGACGAAAAGAGAACTTGTGGAGTAGGTATACATTCATAACAACAACTATCCGTTATAGGCTTTTATTCAATAGTGTACTGTGTTTTATTCAGTATACTTCAAGAACCTATCCCTCAAATAATGATGTTTGAAGAGGAACGTATAATGAAAAATGATTTTCCGTTGTTTTTGACGTCGTTTGAAAAGTTTGCACAGAAAAAGCACTTTTTAGTTCAGTTCAAAGTTATGTTCATTTACATTTTTACAATAAAACAGCTTGATTTCGATGTCTAAAAATACGACTTGTTTTTACGTGGTATCTCCGTGAACCACCTAGGCGGGAGTGTTAAGTAATTATATCTCGTCTTTTCAGCATTCATATGCTCCTGTGAATGCTGGTGTGACACATTACCCACCATACTAAATGTGCTTTCCACTTTGAATATTGAAAGAATACAGGTGGATTATCGTGAGTTAACCGGCGTGGGAACCTAGCTTTGATATTAACAGACGAATATCTCATCTAAAATCTTTTAATGTCTAGCAACTACATTTCTGAAGTATATTGACGTGCTAGCTCACCAAAGGTGTTGATCAAAAATGAGAATGCTTTAAGTTATAACTAGCTGCAGTAAATTCGGGATGATTGTACCTTGGGGTTTTTGTGAAACATTAATTGGTACTCGTTTAAAACCAGTTTTGTCTTCTTACAAACCATGTGAAGATGCTCCTTTCTCTTGTATGCTGCTTGTTTCATGAAAATCTTGTGCATGTTATTCACAAACACAACACCCGTCAATGCTGTTTTTAGAAACGGTTTGTTTTATTGATTTCATCAGTGGTTTTTTACTACTATCTTGAAGTTTCATAATATTTTTTGCATCTATGTACTTATGAAATAGTCTTATATCCTATAGTTTTCCATTTACCGGTGACCGCGTTTGATATTATTTTATGTTTTAGTTTTGATAAAATATTTTTGATTTAAGTGAAGTCTGTGTACACAGTATTATCATCATAATATTATTACTTCAGTTTGTACGTTCTATGTTCTAATTTTTTGGATTCATGACTTTAATATACCAACACTGTCTAACAGTAGTCCACTATAAACACCAATGTTTGGTTATTTAGTGCATAGTTTTTGAGACAATTGTTTTATGTTGTTGCTACCTTGACGTGGTGGTCGGGCTTGCTTATCGTGATGAAGCAACTGAGCTTTATTGGCTGGAACAACCGTTCCTCAAGGTCCTACCATGCCAGACAGGTCGGGTGAAGAGCGGTAAGACTAAAAGCAACAAAACCAAGGTCCGAAGGCGAAGTCGTACTGCTGACTGTACGGAGGTATAACAGCAGTAAGGTGTTTCTTTCAGACAACCAACATAACAGCGATGCTGCCTTCCCACAAGGAGGGGTGGGGTTAGAAAAGGTCGACCCTAAAAATGCACACCTCGCCTTATCCCACGGATATCCGTCTCCGGCGGTAAGGTCTCAACAAGTACGGAGCTAACACAAAAAATACCCATAAAAAGGTCGTGTGTGACCAACCTCAAGCAGCTGTCCCTTGGGCATTGCGGTCACGCTCTCAGGTCACTATGACCACCTCTAACCCAATTTCCTTTTCAGATACCTCCAGAAGAACCCTTCCATGATGTGGGCAACCGGGAAGTGATAACCGCCCTTATATCTATAACAGCACTCAAGACCACTGTATTCATAATCAGCCTCCCTCTTCAATTCGTCTTATTCCTCCTACATCGACTTTCAGATCTAAGCTTCCTCCTCAAGTGTCGCCATAGCCAACGCTTCTAGTGCGCAAAATACTGTCCCAGGTCTACTGAAACCTCGCTCCAAACTACACATTGGAGCCTTCAACGTACGCACACTATGTCAAATCAGTCAGCAGGCTTCTTTGGCTAAAACCCTAGAATCTCGTATCGTTGATGTATGCTGTGTTTCCGAAACACGCATACAGGATCCTAGTGTGGTCATTCACTTGACCTCGCCTCGGCAAAACGGTGAGCTGACGAGATACATTCTCCGTGTATCTGGCGACCCGATGGCTAGTTCTCGTGGACTGGCAGGTGTAAGCATAGCACTAAACGGCTCCGTAAGAAATCGGAAGGATAGGGACACACGTCGTTGCCTTTTCGTCGTTTCTGCCTACGCTCCCACTGACTGCAGTTCGGATGAAGTGAAAGATGAATTTTACAGAAAGCTGTCTGAACTTCTTCAGAAAGCTAAACGTTCAGACATGGTACTCGTAGCAGGCGACTTTAATGCCCAGGTAGGTAGCTTAGACGAAACAGAAAGACATTTGGGTGGATATTTTAGTATTCCGGCACAGTGAACAGATAATGGTGATCGTCTGCTGCAATTGTGCTCAGACAATCGTTTATTTTTAGCAAACACAAATTTTAAGCATAAGGAGAGACATCGTCTAACATGGCGACCCCCTGGACCAAACCAACGATGGACTCAAATAGACCATATTGCCATCAGTCATCGTTGGAGAGGGTCGATAGAAGATCGTCGCTCATTCTGGAGTACCTGTTTAGAGTTCGACCATGCCCTAATACGAGCACGCATCTGCTTGCGCCTCACTGGACGCAAAAAAGCCACACAAAAAAGACTCATTAGGAAGGGTCAAAATCACCCTGTGACAACCATAGAGGGATTAGTTTGACTAATATATTATCTAAAATACTAGCCTCGATAATTATCGGACGCCTAACTAAGACTCGTGAAGTACAAACACGGGAGAATCAAGCTGGCTTCAGACCTGGTCGTGGATGCATAGACCACATATTCACCATTCGTCAGGTTCTAGAACATAGGCATACTTACCGGCGTCCGACAATAGTGGTCTTCCTTGATTTAAAAGCAGCGTTTGACTATGTTGACCGAGAGGTTCTGTGGCAGTGCCTGTCATTGAAAGGCGTACCTCAGAAGTACATAAACCTTGTGAAGGCTCTTTACTCGAACACTACTAGTCCGGTCAGAGCTTATGGCGAACTGTCATCAGCTTTTGCAACCTCAAGTAGTGTCCTCCAAGGCTGTCCACTTTCTCCATTTTTGTTCAACTTCGTCATAGACCTACTGATGGAAATAACGCTCTCATCGACTGAATTCTCAGGTATTGATCTCCTACCAGGAGGTCCACTTATTGACTTAGAATACGCAGATGACATAGTCCTGTTTGGTGAAGACGCTGATAAAATGCAAAGTCTTTCGATAGCATTGAGCAACAATGCCAGAATATTTGGGATGCGCTTGTCTCTCTCTAAATGCAAGTTGTTGCTTCAGGACTGGCCTGCGTCAACACCTGAACTAAGGATAGGGAGTGAAGTAGTCGAACGCGTCGACAACTCCACTTATCTTGGAAGTCTGATCAGCCCAAACGGGTTAGTGTCTGACGAAATCTCTGCACGGATTCGAAAAGCTCGTTTGGCCTTTGCCAACTTACGTCATCTATGGCGAAGACGAGATATCCGTCTATCAATTAAGGGATGAGTATACTGCGTGGCAGTTCGTTCCGTTCTACTATACGGTTGCGAAACATGGCCTCTAAGAGTAGAAGATACTCGTAAGTCACTAGTATTTGACCACATATGCCTTAGAAATATTGCTCACATCTGCTGGGATCACCGTGTAAGTAATAGTGAGGTTAGACGCAGGATATTAGGGAATGATGTTAAATCAGTTGATGAGGTTATGAATCTTCATCGACTGAGATGGTTGGGCCACGTGTTGCGTATGCCTGAACACCGATTACGACGATGCGCAATGCTGACTAGTGTTGGAGACAGTTGAACGAAAGTTAGGGGCGACAAAACCAAAATGTGGCACTAGTCCTTGAAGTCACTAACTTCTGGTCTGGGTCATGTTGGTAGATGCAGACTACTTGGTTTGGTTCCGCGCCGCATTGGATAATGGATATATTTGGTTGGGGACAAAATCTAATTGTGGACCTATAAGCAGTGCGGGATCTTCAGTGACTTCGATGCACCAAAATCTCATATAACAATCCTGAAATTTAATGAGTGTTTCGTTGCATATTGTAGCTATTCACATCAATGCCTCCATAGACGTGTACTAACAAGTGCCTACCATATTGTTAAATACGTCTTTTCTACTATTTGGTGTACGGTAACTGCTCATTTTCTAGAATTTATTATCCATATCTTTCCATGTTGATTGGTTTTGATGGATTGTCTTTGTTGGCATTTCTAATGTAGAACAGTGACCAGTTGCCTGACTGTCATTACACGCTACCTAAGCCAAGTGATGGATTGACCGATAATGACATTAGGATACCGCCTCCTCTCCCATCGGACGGTCAGCCATTCCTTATTAACGTTGAGGTAATTTCCGGTACTTTTGTCAACATTCTAAAAACCTTTAGAACCCACCTAAGGAAATGTCTCCTGAAGGATTATTGGAACAACACATTGTCCGTTGGAGAGAAATTCGGAGAAAGTAAGTACCATTTTTTAAACTGCCGGACAATTTTATGCAAACTTTCATAATACATCAACTCTATTTAGCCAAGAAGTGATAGAGTATTTCCCAGACTAATAGCTTTTTTAAATACAATGGTTGATTACATCGATAATTATTAGGCAAATTAGTCTCACTTGAAATTCTTCTTGATCGAATGTTTGGTTTCACCTTGATATCTACAGCTCATATTAAATGCAAACCACACAAACATTTTGGAGAGTGGTCATGGAAATACTGCTAAAAGGTGATAAGCTTTTAAGGCCGAACTAACCTAGTTACTGAGTAATTGAATTACCGAACTCCAGTTCCGCAGTCATTTCAGAAAACGTTGCGTTACATAATATAAGTATTACTATTGAAATATTGACTTCAGTATTTGTATAAACTGCGGATCATAATTTCTGTCCACTACTGATCATATCGGGTTAGCGAAGTTATTTGAAGTACGTTTCCAACGCTGTTTGTGGTACATTCTTAACCCCGCCATACTAACTGTTTGCCAATATTCCTGTTCCGTGACAACTCTTTGTGCACAATCTCCTTATTTTGGGGGTTTTCCCCAGTGTTATAAGATTTCGGGGGAATATTGGGAAAAACACTAAATCCTCTCAATCATTTGGGGATTTCCCCCAGACCTATAAAAAATTTGGGGGTTTGTGCCATTCCTCCAAAGTTTTCTATAACAGTATCCCCAAAATAAAGAGATTGAGTGTAAGCGGTATATTTTGCCTTCTTTAATTTCTTCACTTGAGGCGTTCCATAAGTTTGGATTTCTCGAAGTATCTGTTGTCGCGTAGAGTACACACTGTGACCTAGTCGTATTTTTTCAATGTTTAACACATCGAACCCCATTGTAAAGCTTTCGGGACAGTGTAAACTGATGACATGAGTTTATACAAGATACTTTTGTGTAGTAATATCATGGTCATATTGAATACATGCTGGTTTTTCTAATTTTCAGATGGAAAGCTGCCTGTCGCGATAACGAAGAACGGTATTTGGACTCTTATCTTATTCTCAAAGAAACGTATGACAAATTCTGCAAGGACATACCATAAGCTTCGTCTTGTAAAATAAATGTATTTCTTTATAAAGGCAAACACAAATTATAAAAGTGTCTTTCTGACAATTCAGTAACTTTGCACCATCGTAACCACTTTCCTTTACACAATTTAGCGATAGTTGGGCTGCCATGTATTTCAAAATAGTGGGGGTCCTTAAAAACAGTAAAAGAATTGGTCTTTAGTAGGTCATGTTTATTTTATAGACATCACACTTGATAAATGCACATGATATAAAACACTTTGTGCCTAACACAGAGATAAATACTAAAGCAAAATTAGGTCGTCACTTAGATTAAACTATTTCATGCATGCAATAGTATATTACGCCTCACTGCGTGATACCAATTTGCAGCGTATTGGTTGGTTGTGTTTGCCTTGATCACATTCTCCGTTGATATGTTTTCACTCTTAGTTTCCCACTAGGTTTATAGATGTGGTTTTTGAACTTCCATGCCCATAATCTAAGAAACACTAATGTTTAAAATCTACAAACAAAACTTGAAGAGCCACACTTGGAACTTTGGATTCAGATTTACAAAAGCCTTCATCGCCTTTTGAGTTTGTGTATACAAATTCATTGGTGGTATTAGGAGCATCTCGCCATATATAAAAGCAAATGAGATTTTAGCCCGCACTGATGCTGCACTTTGGATTCACTTAAGTAATATATACACTGTTGTGTATAGTCTGATAGTGTTTTGCACAATTCACTTCTTCCTATATTTATGTTCAAGTATAAGATGAATATAGTTGACAATGAATTGTTTTATTAGTTAATTAGTAGTTTAAACCACTTAGCTTACGAAGCGTTAGTGTTGAGCCAAAGATTTTAGGCTTAATTGTCGAGTATCATTCTTAATCTACACACATGTTCGTAACACAAACGAAATCTAATTAGTGTTTTGGACGTCATTTAACCAACTTACACAAGTTAGCAACATTGTTGACTGGTCAAGAGACGTTTTTACTGCAACAATTCCTTTTGATGAACTGTCGTCGTATCCTCCTAGAAAGTTAAACGAGGTTTCTACTTACCGAGCATGACTGGTGATCCGTGTGCTTGAAAATGATCGACAAGCAATTTGACGGTTTCCTCCGTAAAAATGCCTTTTTCCACAGGTATTATCTTAAAATCATGCTAACACCTCTTTAAAGAATCAGCACCTACCTTTGTCAGGTATTGTATTACTAATCCACATTCGTATGTTCCAATCCAATCATGAGAGCCTACAAAGGCTCTAGGCTTGTCCCCGGTTTCATGCAATATATTTTGAACTTCAAGCAAAGTAGGCACATCGAAAGGACAGGATTTCGTGAGGTTGTACCAAGACAGAATGGTTTGCAGTGTTCTGTAACCACAGCCCCAGCCCTTAAAATAATTTGTTTTTAGAACTTACTTGGTCATTCACACCTTGAGCACCATAATGATAATAGTGGCATGAACCTTTAAAACCGACTATGTAGTACTCTCCTGGTTCCTCACCAAGTGCTGACAAACACGCACCTAAACTTAATTTCAACATAGGCTTCCAGACTCAATAGGATAGAATGCTCAGAGCTAGCTTTGTAAAAGGAAATGCCACGGTTGAGCAATATCAGTAACTGGAAAGAAACATTCTTTCGATCGGTGAATGTGGACATTAAAGGAAAACAAACTTAGGTGCTGAGTGTTGAAAATATTAGATCACTCCCAAGAAAAATAACAAGGTAGATGGCTACGTTTACAAACACCAACTAGTTGGTCTAGCTACTTTATAAGTGCAACCAACTTAGGTAAGTATGAGGCTTCTGTGCACTTGAAGGTCAAATCGCCGTAAAATGATTGGTGCGTTGCCTCGACAATTCGTAGTTTTCAGTAATAAGGATAGGAGGTCTATCGACCTATATTAATCCTTGCAGTTTGTAATACTATAAAGGTCCAATCTCGTTTTGAATATATCAACAGAAGGTGCTGATATTACGTGTTCCGGTAGAAAATTCCAGTAATTCACTACTCTGTGTGAGAGACGAAACTCCAGACGTAAACAATTTGATCTCGGTTTTTGAACTTTCTTCAAATGACCAGTCCTAGACGGAAGTAAAAGATTAGAAATGTTAATACCAAGGTCATCGTTCAGTATACGATAAGCTAATTTTAGATCACCGCGTATTCTGTGGTAAGATAACGGAAGTAAGTTATGGTTCCTAACTTTGGATAGCACGAAACCACATGTTGTATAGTGGTACGATACACCAGTTATGTAATTGCATCACCACACTCTTTTGGGGATTTACTTCTAGTGACCACCTATCTAACCATGCCACCAATGAGCTAAGATTATTCTGTGATACTATCCGACATACTGTGTATGGGTCTCCAAATTTTTATGTTATCAGCGAATAGTAGAACAGATGATTTCGCTACAGTTGGTAATTCATTTACATAAAGTAAAAAGAGAAGAGGACCGAAGATTGTACCTTGTGGAACTCCACTTTCTACAGGTGCCCACGAGGAAAGAGCCCCACTAACCCTTACCCTTTGTCTCCTGTCATGGAGAAAGTTACTTATCCAATCTATGACTGTATAATGGATTCCGAAGCGTTCCAGTTTGAATTTAAGACCAGAATGGGAGACCTTATCGAAAGCCTTACTTAGATCTATGAAGATCACATCTACAGGAATATTCTGATCTTTTGCAGCAGCCCAATCTTCCCTTGCAATGAGGAGATTTGTCAGGCACGATAGGCCTCTCCGAAAACCATGTTGTTCCCTGGAGAAAAGATCATGGATTTCAACATAGTTTATAACAGATATCCGAATGATTTTTTCCATCAGTTTTACGACTGCACTAATTAAGCTAAGGGGTTTATAGCTTCTAAGTCACTACTCCCAGCCTTATACACCGGACTTATTATAGCGTCTTTCCAGTCTCTGGACTGTCTCAGAGACATGTCAAACAGTACCGCGAAAGGTTCCGCAATTATATCTGATATGGCTTTCGTAATACCAGGATGAATTCCATCAGGAACATTGGACTTATCAGGTTTGAGATGCTGAAGTAGCTTTAAGACAGTACCTTTCTCAATGACTACGGAGTCCATCAACGAGCCGCCACAATCACAATGAATCGTTGGTCGTACTTCATTACTGATAGAAAACACTTTACTGAAATATTCCGATGAAGCTTCGGCTTTTTCGGTATCATTTTCTGCCAAGATTAACGGATTTTCTTGAATCGGAAGTGATGGAATTTCATCGCTCCTCTGAGTTCTCCATTTTATGCACGAGAATAACCGTTTCGGACTATATCTAGAATCCCTAACTAATTGTTTTTTTAATAAAATAATATATTTCTGTATGAGCAGGTACACGCCATTTTTACAGGCATGATCTAAAAATTACAACATTTGTTGGAGCATAGCATGATTCCCAACTTGGCAAGTTTATAGTTGTTATAAAGTAGACTCATAGGGCGCTTGCTACAAACTATGACCTTGAGTTGACGCATACGTCAAGTTTGTTCGAGACATCAGAAGTTCCATAACTGTGCCTTGAGAGCCAGATTCTGAAGATGAAATAAAAAAGATAAATAGCAGAGCAGCAAGGCACTTGGATATGAACGCCAAACGCTGCTTAATATTGTGTAGTAGAACAGACAGAGGTATAATAAATTAAATTAAATTCATATTATCCCTTGTTAGAGTGAAATGAAGTCAGAGGCTCAACATAAGAGGATGTAGCAATAAAGAACAATGAGATATGATGTTTAACAAGTTGAGTAAGCTCACATAGAGGAAGGGAAGTCAAGGTTGGTTCAACGAAGGCAGTTTATTAGAAGGGAGTATGCATATAGAGGGTGAAGTGGTAAGAATATTAATGACTATATCTTTTATTGTCTGATTTATTCTTTCTTTGTCCATCCAATGCCAGCCACACAATCCTAGTGTAAAAGTCAGAGTTAGCATGTCTTAGTAAAATAGCCAATCCAGTATAAAATTGGAAACATGAGTCTGAGTAGTGAGTGTAGGAAGACAATCTTTATCACAGATTGATTGACTTATGCTCAATCATAGAGAGCCTGATACATACAAGATGTTCTGCCACACAGATATCGTATGATCGTCCAGTCTTACTTATTAACGCTTTACCGTCGTTCCTGATCTTACTATACCTGGATCCGTATCGTTCTAAGCCAGTAGAAATGAACATATTCCAGTACTTATTCCTTCTTCTAAGAAGTTTGCTGACTGGTTTAGTTGTTCATCGTGAACTGTTATTCTGTCTTCGCGGTGCCAGGTACGGTATGAACGGTGACGTAGCTAAACAAAGTCCAGCAGAGAAGAACCTTGGTTATAACCAAAACGTGTGAGTTTGGATACTCGCTGCACTAAAGCATGCTCCATTATTGTTACCAGGAACCTACTATCAAAGGAGAGGTCAAGTCATGACATTTCTAGAGCCCGACCAAACTGTCTGGAAACGTCCATCCTTCAAGTAACGAAAACGATATCATCGTGATGATGTAGAACGAATCTTCAACGATATTTTGTCATCGCGACAATTCAGAAGTTGGAACAATTTTGGGACCTGTCTGAAGGAAGCATATAAGGTAATACGAATTCAGTGGTTGAAAATTATTTTTGCAGTATACGCACACTCGGTATGTTATGTCAGTATGTAGAAAAAATAATGATGACCCATACCTATAGTATTTTTTCGTCAATTATATCTGTACATATTGACGTGAACGCAGTTTGTCAAAATCAAGTGGTTGTCTTAAGGAGCATACCCTTCAAGACAACAGTTGACGTCATATGAACGATTACATTTAAAACCGTTTTTATTTAGCAATACGACAACACGTAGCTTACGGCATCTAGTTTCTTGGAAGTTCCATAAACAGCTTACCAAAGACTATAGCGCGAAAATGTAATCACAGTTGTACCCCAGGCTGTTAAATTTACACTCTAATTAACTGAGTTTAGACATTAAAAATATCAACGAGTTTTTACAGCGCATCCAGCCAAACACTGAAGTAAAAGTTGATATGCTTTGATCATGTTATTTCATATAAAAATTAATCATTTTCGACTCACAGTGTTTAGATGAATGGGAATAATTGCTAGTCTGCGATTCGAATATGGAAAAATTATTGTAGCGACACCTGAATAATGGATTTTGGAAGAATTTGCGACACTACTCTTTTTCTCTTAATCGTGAAAACAGAAAATAAACTTTCAAATTTATAATTAATAAATTTCCATTTCAGATCTGCACAAGGCAAAAATAAGAAAGTAGTGCAAAAAGTGTAGCGATGCCAGTGTCGTTGGTTTGAAGGTTATAGCAGTACCACAACTATGAGACTACTGTTGGACACAATTAAAAACATCATGAACATGATGCAAAATATTGCAGTCTCTGAGGTTTCATTTAAACACTGTTCTTTTCTGTTCCTTATCTTCATTCCTGTACTCAGTTTTTTGAAAATTGCGAGGTTTTCAGTCTTCAGTAATATGAGGTGTAGGTTGGTAGACCTGTGTTAATCCCAACAGATCTCTTTTCAATGAAAATGTTCACTTATGGGGCTAATACCACTTGTTCAGGTAGGCTAGTTAGACTGACAGCTTGATAGTTAGACACGATGTCTGACCACCTTTAAATATAGGACTGACTATAGCATCTTTCCAATCTCCATGGTTTTGCTCATAGGAACGGGGCGTGTTGAAGCACATCGTAAGTGGTCTTGAAATAATGTCCGCAGCAGAAAACAGAAATCGCGGATGTAATCAACCAGGTCCCGGCATCTTACTAGAATTTAGGTCAGCGATCAATTGAAGAGAAGTTTCCCCATTTACACGTACAGGTTCTATAGCTGGTATTACAGTGGTGCGATTATGAAAAGTATTGTGAACCATGTTCGTAGGGTTGACTTTGCCGGAATACTTTGATACTGCTTCAGCTTCGGCCAGATCTGACTTAGCTGGTAATATCTTAATTTTCGTGTAACAACAATGGAGGAAAACCTTCGCCACGCTATGTTCTTCGTTTAATATCAGGAACAAACGTTTCGCGCAAGTGCGGCTGTCATATGCCTGCTGTCTTTCTTGAGTACGGCATCTAGACGTGGTCTTCTTACGTATATTCCGGATTCACACTTGAATGATTCGTGTCCCGTTAACACGGAAAAGTCTCACAAGTGTTTCCTGCGCATCAACTGCCTTCGGGTTTCCTTGCTGATCCATGAAGGGCGATGTGATATCCTACGTGTCGACTGTGGGATAAATCCGCCATCAATTTTTCTGTTGATCAACGCTAGAAGGCTAATTGCTCCTTGGATGAGTAATGTCTTGCTCAAACAATGAAACACAAAACGCCTGTGGGAGTTAGGCTATGAACATCTTTTATATGCGGTGGGATTAATGCGAGTACGCACCTTGCGGAAGCTCTTATTACACTCATCACATTGCACTCCTTCCTCCACAGCGAATATGTAATGTGGTTGAAAACATTTGTGAGTAGAGCCGACCACCTGAAAAATCAACC